GATCGCCCAGCGAAATTATGGAAATCCTCCACGCGACCCCCAACAGTATTTTCACCCTGGGAATCGATATGCCGTTCACGAAATACCACAGAGTCCTGAAGGATCACGCGTAGATGACTGCTATCGTTGAAGAGTCTATCCGGGCCATGGAGAGGCATGCGCCCAAAGACAGACAGCCAGTGAAGGTTCTGCGCCGAATCTTGGATGCTAGAGACGAGGATGGCAATGTAATCGACGTGGCTGTCATCACCAACACCATCATCGTCTTGACTTCGGCAGGCGAGAACAAAACAATGGCAAATGGGGCACCAGAGGGCACCGCTGCACAAGTTTGGCTTTCGCGGCAATGCTACCGACATGAATGTTAAGAAAGCACTGGATCACGGCTCTCTTAGAGATGCTAATGTGCCCAATATCTTTTGTTTACTTTTGTTCAAGGCTGGTAACATTTCAGTGCGACAGGGCAACAGCAGTATCTCCAAGGTGATGGGAAAGGTGTGATCAACCACAAGGCGCAAGGCATGCTGTCTCAACGAGCATGTCAGTTGCGCTTCTATTGTATCCACAGATCAGCGCCGAGATCCAGCACCACCATGGTACAAGTTTTACCTTCAAGTTACTGGTGTTTTCCCCCTCCAAAATGCGTTTGCATCGAATGCTTAAACAGGTACCATCATCTGGAGGTGTGCGCCATTGAGACTCCCCTTAACTTTGCTAGTGTGCCAAGTATTTTATTGAGATTCATTTTAAGAGAGCCCCACACATTCGCAGCTGAATCCTCTCCAGCCACATCTAGTCGAATTGCACTCATCAGGGTGGTAAAATACGAGAATAATAGGAGACAGAATTAATAGCGGAGAGGAGCTTAAGCGGCGCCTCAGCTTGTCCGTCGACCTGTCCCCAAACTCCGCAACTTTCAATGGCTGTCCTTGACACTAGGAAAAAAACAGGCCAGATGACACAGTCCTGACACGGTTTGCTCAAAATCCAACCGTGTACTTTTGGCAAATGTGGTCCCAAAAGTACACAGTTACTACACATATTGACACAATTTCAACCGTGTACCCTCACACAACTGTATATACTACACGGCTTCCTGGGATGCACGGTTAAATCTGTGTCAATGTGTGTCCTAAATGTGTACTTTTGGGACCACATTTGCCGAAAGTACACGGTTGGATTTTGAACAAACCGTGTCAGGACTGTGTCATCTGGCCTGTTGTTTACTAGTGTGAAGCCATGGAATTCAATTGACTCAAAATGAAATGGAACTGAAACCAATGGGTGTGTACAGAATTTGCCTCTCTAACTTGGCAGCCCGTTCAAAGCAGCAGTGGGGCCCTGCCATCGTCGCCCTTCTGGCAGTCCGGCGCAACAGCCATGCGCAATGTACGAAAATCACTGTACAGTGCAATACGCTCAAGGTGGACGTTGTTGTTGAATACAATACACAGCAGGGAGCTCCGGAGATGATTGCCAACTGGTTTGATTTCGTTCGGGATAGGAAACTGTCAGTTCAGTGACGCAGACCATTTTTCATGGATAGTAGCTCAATCTTCAGGCAATTTGAGAATCAAGCGCATGACTGCACTGCCAGAAACTCACTGCTTAGTTTACGGACGTCACTTTTCTCCTTGTGCGTTTGCGCGAGGGAAAACCGTTTCTCGTTTCTTTTCACAGCAGTCAGTGTTGGAATCCGAAACTACGTGTTGTGGAAAGAAACGTGAAATTCGCCCATCTATCGCGACTTCATAAGCTTGCAAAGTTAAGCAATTGCCGACACTGGCATTGCTCGAAACTACTGCCTGCGCCGCTGGTGAACGCCCGCATACATGTGCCCCGTGCCCTCTGACGGGGCGGCTCCCCCGAAGACGGCTCGATGGGTTCCAGAGCCGGGACCGGCCCTATAGGGCACGGGACCGCGTTCCTGGCGCGGAGCAGGCGCCCGCGGTGTTGCCCCCGGAGCCCCGATTGGCGCCACCGCGCTGTCGCGCCGCGCGAAGCGGGACGGCCCGACCCGGCGTGGGAAGTTGCGAACTGGGAGGAGCTTTCGCTGCCCGGAGGTATGGCGCCGGGAGACTTGGTTCGCGGTGGAGGCGATCTCAGGATGGGGCTGGGAGGGCATGGGAGTTGCAGATGGGAGGGTGACGATTGGGGAATTTGGCAAGGTGGGGTGAACAGTGTACAGAGGGCCGCTGGTAAACCTGCGAGAGTGGTTTTCTGGGCTTCACAATCCAAAGGAACGCCAGATTCATGAGTGCTTCTTTCTCAGGTTGCTTTATATGCTGGTGGTTGGTGCACATTTTCGCACATGCCACCAGCAGGGAACGGGATCCTGATGTTGAGATTCGGTTGGGATGGAAGTCAAACCTTGCTGTGTGGTTGGTTGGAGAATCCTACCCAGGTGTTGAAATACAGAATTGGATCTGCAATTTCCTTGATCAATTGCAAACTGGGATGCAAGGAATAGCTTGTGATGACCCAGCCAGTTCGAGTTCTGCCATAATGATGACTGCACAGTGGCCCAATAAACGAGGTTGGAAGTGGCGTTTTCACCATCAATTACAAAACGAAATCTGGGGAAGGAAATGACAAGCCATGTGCACAGCAATTTCATGGAACCTGGACTGAAGTGGAGAGCATTGCACACAACAATGGGTAACATATTCCCACCCAAGTGCTACTCACGCTGCTTTCCTGCCAACAGAAATATTGACTTCACAGAATTATTGCAAGTGCTTAGTTGTTAAGAATGGCATCCTAGGCAAAACGTTCTTTGATACATGCTTTTTCCTATGCATTCAGATACTTCAAGTCCGGTTTGTGGGGGAACACAAGAACCTTGCATTATTTAGAAGGGAGGGTCTGATCCGTTCCTCTTGTTGTCAAACCCCCGGCCTCTGCCCTTACATTGTTCAGGGCTCATTTAGAGGCTGGAGAATTACACATATCACAGTATATATTGCAGTAGTGAAACGGAAGTAAATGCTGCATTTACAGGAATTTCGAGCCCTGAGGAATGTGAGAGAATCCTGTTCCCCAAAACCTGCCCATTGCTGGTTCCACTCTATGTGGTGCTTATTCTTTCCAACACGTGTCTCTTTAATTTGTTGGGGCTTGTGAGCTCACAAATTCTGTTCATGGCTCAGCATGTTCCCCCATCGTGGCACTTGCTCGTGTTGCTTTTATCGCTGTCTGTGAAGATATCTGTTCATCTCGCAGCAGTACGAACAGCCTCAGAGATGTCTTGGTCAGGAGAGGGTCTCATGTGCCGCACGAATTGTCTATGAAATGTAACTGCATGTTGTGGTAGTGCAGGACATGATAGCTGTCCATTCAGGAGAATGCTCAAAGAGGCCAATCAATTTTTTTTAACTCACTGCTGCATACTTCCACTATGATTGCAGCGTTATTTCAGCGAGTTGGCTGCATTGGCCACAATCTCGAACTTGGCCTTGGAAGTGCACAATCTGCACAACACCTTTGTGTGTAAAATGTATCTAATACGCTTTTCAGGTAGCTATGGATGGCCTGTGTTGGGTGAGACAGTCGAATTCCTGAAAGACATGAGTGCATTTACCCTGAAGCGCATCAAAGAGCATGGCAACATCTTCAAGACCCACATATTTGGCTCAAAGAGCGTCGTTGTATGTGGTGCTGAGGCGCTTAAGAAGGTGTGTGAGCCAGACATCACGATCGGACTCTGCAAGTTGCAAACTGTGTTTGATATGTCATTTTCTTTGTGGGTGTTGACATGATTTTCTGTAGTATGGAAAGAGTCTGTCAAATCGTGGTGCTTGAGGAGGAGCCACCTGCTGTGTGACAACGTATTGATGATTAAAATACCCTGATGCTGGCAGCATACGGCACCATACCAACAAGCCGCGGACTGTCATTGGCCACATGCAACATGTTAACTTGGAAGTCTTGCATTTAAACGATCAATCTTGATACTAGTGCAGTCATGAATTGTAAGGCCCAGATGCAGTTTCCCCGCCCAAAAGCGTTCTTTTGCGGCGAAGGAAACACATCACACTTTGAGCCTCCTCTTATTGACAAATCTCCATTTGAATTTCTTGTCATCATATTCAAATTGCTGCAGGAGTCTGCAGGCAACAGAAAGAGCACATGGCAGGGGCCAACACAATCAGTACAAAGAAGAAATGGACACTCATTGTGCATACGTTGGACATACACAAGCTCAGCTATTTTTAGAAGGTCCAACAAGATTGTTCTATGAAAGTGTTCTCCTCTGGTAAGTTGTCATCACATGTGCTGAAAGGTTGTACACCATTTCAGCAGTGCATTTATCTGAAATACCTCTGGCATTGCAAAACAGAAAATGGTCAGTTGGAAATGCACAATTGGAAAGGGCAAATGAGGCCGCCTGTCGCGTTGGTGTGGATTACGGGAGGCTCATGGCGAAATTGTTTGAAATGGTGCATTGTAGGTCTACCAACTGGAATCAAGAGGTGCCCTTGTAGTGCACCAAGTGACACCAGCTTGCAGGGTCCTTGGGGCGGACAACTTGGTGGCCCTCGACGGTGCGTGTTTGAAAAGCTCCTGCCACTATGTTATACACACATTGTGTAAGAGTTCCACACCTAGACTGCTGTTTTAATGGCGAGGCTGGGACCAACACCATGGATGAAACTGTTGTGGACAATAATGGAAGCAACAAAACATAGACAACAAAATGAAATTCAAGCTGGAAGCATAGTTTAGATTGCAATGAATGGAGATAATTTTGATCGAAAGGGCTGGCTGGGCACCCCTGGAGATTGGCTCGAGCTTTCGAGGCGTCTTGGACGGGGCCGTCAGTGTTGCGACGGCAATCCCATGCTATGGAAATTCGAAAGTTTCACTGCAGCTGCTGCTGGGCTGTGTGCACCGCATGGTTCCCGTTGCCACTTGATTGCGTTTTGATGGTGCGGGGGGCAGGTGCCGAGCATGCCCGTCTCCGGAAATTGCTCTTTCCAGCATTCTGCAGAGATTCCGTGATGTCCTGCCTCCCGTTTATTGTCGACACCGCCAAGCAAACGTGCGCCGAGTTTGAAGGCAGGGATTGGTTTCCATTGACTGAAGAGGTAAGATCGGCGCTGGGCCGAAGGATGGAGCGGGCCTCGTGGGAGGGACAGAGGCATTCGCGTGTAAATGGCAGTGACTTTGTCGTTGGTTGTGCCACCCAAGTGTGTACCTAGAATGAGTTCGAATGCACTACGTGCGGCATTGAACATTTGGCGGATGAAAATGGGGTGAAGGTGTTGCGCTTAGACGTGGCTTAGCTCTGATTGCAGCTGCTTTTATGAAGGGCTCCACAAGTGTCCTAATTAACGCTTTGAGTTGATTCCCAATACATTCGCCATTTCTTCCATGAAAATAAAGTAATGAAGTAACGAAGTACTAAAACAATGACGCAAGTGAAACAGTGAACAATTGAGTTGTGGCTGGCAATCAACCATGAGCAAAGCCACTCTCAAGATAGATCAACTCTTGAATAAGCCGCTTTGGATCACCCAGCACATGTTTGTGCACCTCAGGTAAAACACTACGCTTTCAAGATCAGCACGGACGCTTTTCTTGGGATCGAATTTCCTTCCAGGTCACCCAGCGAAATTATGGCGATCCTCCACGCGATCGCCGATAGTGTTTTCACCTTGGGGATCGATCTCCCGTTCACGAAGTATCGCAAAGGCGTGAAGGGTCACGAGGAGATGACCGCCATCCTTGAAGAGTCCATCCGCGCCATGGAGAGGCATGCGCCCACAGACGGACAGCCCACAAAGGCCCTGCGCCGAATCTTGGATGCTGAAGACGACGACGGCAATGGAATCGACATGGCCGTCATTGTCAACACGGTCATCGTCTTGCTTTCGGCAGGTGAGAACGAAGGACGGCAAATGGGTCGCCAGAGGGCGCTGCTGTACAATGTTGGTTTTCGTGGCAATAGCGGTGACCTTTTGGTACCATTGTCGACATGAGCATTGAGAAAATGCTGGATTGCAGCTTTCCAGGAGATGCCGATGCGCCCAATTTCTTTGCTTTATATTCGTCCAAGACTCGAAACTGTAAGTGTGGCAGGACGGTTGCAGCGTATCCAATGTGACGCGAAGGTGTGATGGGCCGCGATGCGCAAGCTTTATTCTCTCAATGAGAACGTCATTTGCCCCTCTGCTGCATCCACACATCCGCACCGACTTCCAGCATCAGCATGGTACAGTTTTTCCTCACTGCTATCCCCGGACCTGCCAATGCTTTCCCATTCGTAAAAGACGTTTGCATCGAATGCCTAAAAATGTTTACAATATTGAGCTTCCCCTTAGCTTTCCTACTATGTTACTGTAACTCATCCTCAGCCACCCTCACACCACTGTACCTGAATCCTATCTAGCCCACATTTGAGCCCAATTACACTCTCCAGGTTGGTGCAATACGAGAGCAACAGAAGACAGAGTGAATACTTGAGAGGAGCTTAACGAGACACCTTCCATTGGCCTGTCGAAACCTCCCCACTTTCAATGATCATCCTCGAAAGCCTTGGACTTTTGACTGGCACAAAGGACAATGGAACTGGAACGAATGAGCGCTTCCGTAAATTGCCTCGCTGATTGGACTGCAGATTCAAGGCATCAGGATGGCCCGACCATCGTCGTCGCTGACAGTTCGGCGCAACACCGACGTGCACTGTACCGAAATCCATGCCCATGCGCAATATGCTCAAGGTGGACACGATTGTCAAATAAAAGAGACAGCAGAGCGCCCCAGGGATTGTAGCTAACTGGTTGCTTCCCTTCAGGATACGACACCGTCAGCTCAACAATGGACACCATTTTTCATGGATTGGCGCTCAACCCCCAGGCAAGTTGAGGGAGCCCACGCATGCCTGCGGCAGAGAAACGCATTGCTCAATTTACGAATCACACTTTCTGCTTCTGCGCCTGCTCGAGTGGAGTTCGTTCTTGTTTCTTTCAAAACAGTTGATTCCGTGATTTCACTGGAGAGTGACATATATCTCAATTGATTTGTAGACGGCTCACAACGATTTGAGCGCGCTTCCTCTTGGAATGCGGTGCCACGTTCCGCATGCCATATTTAAAAGGAGTTGCTGGAACGCATTCGGTGAAACTCATGCGGATCATTGCGGACATTGGCTTGCAGCCTTTCTCAGACACTCAATTAATTAATTAATTAATTAATTAATTAATTAATTAATTAATTAATTAATTGTGCCCGACAAAAGAGCGCTGCCTGAGCAATTTTGGTACCATTCCATTCCGCATAGGCAGATGGCTGACATTCCTTACCTTGGCCAACGACAGATACGGGTGACAACCATCGGTACCCTGTCTCAACGTTATTGCCGCCCAATGGAAAGAATGCGCAAAATTGTATTGAAACAAGAGCACAATGTGCATTCGTCACAGCGTTTTGTCACGTCCCATTTCCACCGGTAACTGCTCTCTCGAACAGCGAAACTGTTGACCTTTGGGCACCTCTTCACCTACGGAGCCTTCACCCGACGCTCGCTGCTCTCTCCCACCTCATGTTAGGAACACAGCCGCCTCCCTCCGCTTTGTCCCATTGCTGAAAGGAATGCATCGGCAACAATGACCGTCCAGCGATTAGCTCTGTTTTGATTGGTGTAAAGTGAACATCGTGTGTTCGTCGCGCGAGGCACGCAAGCATGAATCGAACTGTGCTCTCCTAGCCGTTGTTCTTGGTACCATTATACTTCCAGGTGAGCAAACAGCAGGCTTGCCATCAATGCCGTCGCATCCCCAGCGCGTCGCAGTGTGCTTCTGTATAAATCATGTATCACCGCAGTTATGGCAAAGAGGTGGCTCCAAATTGAATTCCCTACTCATCGCTCTCACCCAGTGAAATGCCGGCAAACCGTCGTTTCTAAAACGTTTGCTGCAAATTCAGCGCTTGTCCCAGGCAAATGTCGTATCAAATTAACTTCAAGTGCTCGATTGCCGAAAGTTGAGCAACTTAAACGTCGAGGAAATTCAGTTGATTCTCTCCCTCCGGACGCTGGGCCGCCAATGGCTTGTGTGGAGCGCTGTGCTTGCGTATGCATCCAGACACATGACGTACATGCACGGTGCGGATGCCGTATGGATGTGCACTGGCAGCCGATGTGTCTTGCATCACAGGTGATGATGCCATGCCACCAGGCATTTGCAGCGCTTACGTTGCGTGCACCTGGCCCGACGTTGTGTTCAGGTTTGGGATAATCTGCGCGAGGAGCAACGTCGAGTGACGGAAAGATTCGGCAGTGACATCACGCTCAAGTCGCTGGATGCCATGGTTTACGCAATGGCGGTCGTGAAGGAGGGACTCAGGGCGCAGCCCATGGTGCCGTTCGTTTTCAAACGCGTGGAGGAGAGCGTCGAGCTCGGCGGTTACCAGATTCCGGTCGGCACGCAGGTGAATCGCCTGACAGAGACTTGGCGATTTCTCCCCTTATTTGATTCGAAAGTACTGCATTGCATTTCAGTGTCCAGATGCCTCCCCCGTCCTGTCAAAGACATGCGGACCTTGCGCCAGCTAGCAAGGGGATGCAAGGCGACGCAAAGCTCCCAAAGCCGTTCGAATCCAAAAGAATGCTCTGCCTCAAAAGCGGAGAGTCCAGTTCCTCAGGGGGACCCTCGCAGATCAGCAGTCACAGCAAATCGAATTCAGGTAAATCGAGTTGATGGTTTTGAGGTTCCGTTTGAATTGCCTCGTTCAGAACTGTGGTCGATTGAACTGTATTGCAAAGCATTTTCCACGTCCTCAGTCTGCACGGTGCGTGACCAGTGCGAGCAAGTGCATAGCACCACTGGTTTGATCAAAAGTGCACTGCACTGGGCGGTCCAAATGCATCGCAACTGTACTTAGCACGTACCAACTGACCACCAGCGAAAAGCAAATGCATCACGCTTGGATTGATGCAGCATGTTCTGACGCTTTCGGTCGCCTGCAGCGTAGATAATGTGCATCAACATTTCCTTCAGTCTCTTTGCCGGAAAGAGATCCCAGACCCTGGATATCTAAAAGGGTATGGGCACCATATCCACGATACATAACTTTTCCGGTAATCTTTCCGAAAATTTCTAATTTTCTAATGTTCCGAAAATTTCCAGTCAAAGGTTTGTGGGATCCGCTATTTCCGATCTTGACCCCCTTTTGTAATTCAGAGGCCGTTTTTTTTAGCGAAACTTATGTCCCAAGCAGACTACCTTTCGCAAGGGACAGGGGAAGTAAGTTCGTGCCATGGCCCTGAGGTTCCCCCAAATTCCTTTTTCGCCCCGTCATGGGAATTTCATCGACCTTTCAAATGAACAAAATTCTGCATGAGCATACCCATGGCACGAAACATCTGTGCCACCGATTGTCCACAGATCATTCCTGGTGCGGGTTTCACCACGCGGCACCTAGATGGCAGGTGGAGCGACGGCGACGCATTCCGGCCCGAACGCTATTTGGAGCCGGAGGCAGACAACATGGGCTCGTTCGCGCCCTTCGGCATGGGGGCGCACACGTGCCTGGGCAAGGAGCTGGGGCTCATTCAGATGCGCGTTCTACTGGCGGTGCTGGCGCGGGACTACGAGGTCAGGCTGAGGGACCCGCACTCCCGCGTGGAGAAGTTCCCCTTTCCGCACGCGGAAGACGGCTGCATGGCCACTGTGAGAAGGCTCCGCGGTGGCAGGGCGTGACGGGAGGCCTCAGCGCTGCGAGGATGGCCTGGGCTTCTGGGCGTCGGGAAGTGCTCAATGAGCGCTGTCAAGCGTTCTGCAGGCATGTTCGTGCGGATGGACGCGTGGGGCCAAGTGCGTGGTAATGCGTGGCAACATTTGTCGTTGTGGGGCGCGAACGGCGACTGGCGGAAAAGGCAGCTGTCGGAGATGGCAATTAGCCAGTTTGGGGTCCGTACATCTACAAACAAACTCGAGGGTTTTCAATTTACAGGAATTGCAGCTTCTGATGGCAGTTTGCCGTCCAGCTTGGGCAGTGTGGCGGTGGTTTAGAAATAATGCGGTCCGGGGGTGTACATTACTGGGAAGAATCTCGGCTGCTTGACTCAATAATTAGCGAGCCGCGAAGGGTCGGCATGGCGGCGCGTTTGCTCATTCCGGCTCGTTGCTGGGACTGGCAAGTACGGGCCTTGACTTGAAACACCCATTCCCGAAAACTGAGAACATAACTTTATACTTGACCTGATGCTTTGCCTTATGGAATCTTGGTGGAATTTGCGGCTTTGTGGACCACTCGTGGAACACGCTAGTGCTTTTGCCGCATATGCGGACGTGCCTCTTCTGTTGTGGCGACTGGCGCCGCGCTGGGCAGTGGGGTGAACATAAGAATACGACGAACTATATTTCCTGTACAGGATATCGGGGATTTGGATCGAGGGATGCTAGCGTGGCAAATGCATCATTGGAATAACGATATATGCTATTTGCTTGGCAGGATGCTAGATATTGTTATCAGGGGAATCTTGCATGGTATGCGCATGTTTGCAACAATGATAAATTTGCTTGACAGCATGTTAGGCCTTGAGATCGAGGGATGCAAGTATGGTATATGCATGAGTGGATTGAGGGCGCAAGTGCTTGCCAGGATGTGAGGCATTGAGACCGATGGATGGGAGTATGGCGGAGCATGGTTGGGAGGACCATTTTGGAACGCCTCTGGAGTACGCAGGTGTTCTTTCTGCCCTCCGGATTGCTTATCCACCCGCGTGTTTAGCAGCGAGATGCTCTGTTGTATTCCAAGTATTTGGCACTTGTTTCCTTTGGCAGAATGTCGAGTATGAGCGGAGTCTGGACCACTGCGGGACCCGCAATGTGGTTGTCTTGCTTTGCTTTGCAACGTAGCCGTTGTCGTGGCTGAGCAAGCTGACAACTCGGGGCGCAGAGCTAAAAGATCTGTGGCGTTGACGGCATCATGCGCCTGGGTCATACAAGCAGACCTGCATTCCACCCGAAAATTGGACAATATCAGCCCTCAAAATGGCACTATGCACCCGAAACCAAAGGAAAGATGTAAGAATACTGATGGTACACCGTGGGCATACCCACGTGCATCAACCACTATTATCGACTAACAACCATTATATTGACCACTGCTCGCTATGATCGTGCAGTTTCTGTATGCAACAGCATGCAAGACAGGTCCCCGCAGGAGCTCATATGCTCTGGCGGTTCCCGCTCTGCGCTTTTGCCGGGTTTCCTAAGGCCACTTGCCCATGGTTACAGCGTGTCTACCGTCCATTATATGTGCATCATCGCAGAGCAATGCCGCATCGCCATCTGCCGATTCCGCAAGTTCTGTTGATTCAAATTTCACTGTGGCTGACGCGGGCCATGACACACAATTGGCATTGACCTGAACCCTGGAGGGGAAACGTTATTTACCCTCTGCCTTCCAACGTCAGCATGGAGCCCCCGGACGGGGGCCGGGCCGCGCCGGGCCGGCCCCGCTCGCCCCTACCTTGGGGCCAGGGGCGCCCCCCGTGCGCCCCCCCCGCGAAAACGGCTAAGTTGTGGGAGGGGGCATTGGTCCGGGGCCTCCATGCTGACGTTGGAAGGCAGAGGGTAAACAACGTCTCCCACCGTGGAGCTGTCGAACGAGGAGATGATGGATTCGTTGGTGCAGTACTTTGGATTTATACACTGGCATGACTGCCTTGGGATCTGGACGGTGTGGTCTGCTGCTCTTTGTGCGGCGCGCATTGTTGGCGGATCGCTTAGCGTGGCAGTGGGCACTGCAGCGGCGGGGATCGAGACTCCCTCCTGGGAGCAGAGTTGCGCTGTCGAGCGCCGGACAGTGCATGGCGGTCATTCTCTTAGCCCAGTGACCGTTGTGGAGGGTCCTCCTTCTAAGAGCCCCGTGAGCTGTGTGGATGGTTGGGTGTTGGCTTGGGCGTGGTGACATTTTGTTCATGCAGCGAGTTCATGCTTCGTCTGTCGGTGTTGGGGCGCAGGAGATTGGCCTTTCCACCCCCGAAACGCAAGGAGGAGGGAGGATTAAAAAATATCTTGGATGCAGGGCTAGTGTGGACCTGTTTGCGTGCAGTTGCTCCCCTTGAGCAGAGATATTCTTTCGTTCTCTTTATGCCTTTCGCTTCTCGGCTTTCCCTGCTGTAGATGTTCGCCCATGGTGGGCACTGGCATTTGGACACCCACACCATTGGTTGTCCTTGTGGGGGGCGCTGGCGTGGCAACTGAGTTGACAAGGCACCTTTCGCGGACAAAGAGAAAAGGAGTTACATCCATTTGTCCGCCTTCCCGCCACCTGCCACTTCCACCAGCCAGAGACACCCCCTGGATCAAAGCACAAGCTCCCTCAGACCAACAGGACATGTCAGGTTTCCTTGTCAGTCGTCATATGCACGTGCACTGCCCCTCAGGGAACGTCTGTCCTGCTCGCCACCGATCGTCATTTGACAAGTCCATCAGGTGACCTCCATTCAGCGATATGAAAAGTCCCATCCCTGCGGCCAATTACACATCCGTCAATGCGCACGTGGTGAAAAACTCGGTCCCATACATCACTGAAAATGCAACAACACATCAGGGGTTTTTCGCTTCTTGATGCAAATACGTGAGACCACACATATTTGTGCATAAGTATTTTTTAACCCTGCCTCGAGCGATCCACTGCGACGCAATGCAACATTGCAACATTCATCAGCACAAGAAGAGGGTGAGTGAGCTAGTCTGCATTGTTACCTTTGCGCACTGGATCTGGCAAGAGGATGCAAGCAAACTTACCAGTTTCGTTACCATCAACATATGGCACAAGTAAAAAACCCATGCACTGGTGAGTATTTGAATGCTCACCATCACCTTGAGGGTGCAAGGGCAGTGTTTCGCAATGACAATACAAGTGAAATCGACAAGGGGCTCAACCATTCCACTCTTGTGTTCGCTGGCTGGATAGTGATGCATTGTAAAATATCCCATATCCTGGGTGGATATGGTTACAGGCGAGGCTAGTGCATTCCAGGATACAGACAGCCCATACCCGGAACATGGGACTCAACTGAATGCTGTTCAACCCACACCCTCGATATCAGCCTGCCCTATCCAAGATAAGGGGAAATCAGATGTGCTTATCCTCAGTCCGTTCTTCTCCACACCCAGGATATGGAACATTTTACCAACGTGCTTTGACCATTTCTGTTGCTTCGTGCAATCATGGATACATCCTTCACTTGGCATCCTCAGGGCGATGCTGTGGCATAATTTGGAGCTACGCTACAGCAGCCAAGTTGGTATGCACCATCGATTGCGGTGGGACCAGATTGATGACCTGATGGTTGGCTGATGAGGTTTCTGTTATCCACACGGGTAGTTCCCTTTCCATTCCTCCTGGTCAGGGGCTGGTGCAATGCTGCCTTTCAAAGGAGCCAAGTGGCAACCCATGCTCCTACATAAATCCACAGGAGATGGGGCTGGACTGCATTACCAAACCATTCTCACAATTTCTGCTGGTCTGTCAAATGCACACACCTCCACAGGGAGAGGCTCCGGAGCCGTGATCAAAGTTCACTGCAGGACTCACATGTTGTGCAAACTGTTCTGGTGCATGTGTTGATCAGCCTATGAGGTACTGCGTGGCTTGGCTCTATATTGCTCCACATGAAATGTGAGGAATGTTTGTAACGGTGATCAACAATCTTGCAGTAGGCCCCGTGCCACTGCCCATGAGCTCCCAAAGCATGAGCGGAACAGCTGCAGAAACAACCATTCAAGCAAACAAGCTACCAGCCCAATGACGTAGCAATCCAGGTTGCACCACATCTGCCCAGTACATCTTGCGGTGCCACCATCTTGCGGTCATTTGGGCATGCTCTTGTCAAACATACAAGAATTCAATTATGGAGGACTTATGCAGCATGTGCATGGTCAAACGAGATACAAGATTCTCGAACAGAAAGACCACCACAAGGAGGAATTCATTCATCACGCCCACCTTTTCGACCACTCCATGCTACCCCTGATGCTTGACGGTCACACCTTCATGCTCATCCTTTGCTGTGCGCACCTGCACACGGTACACACTGCGCACCTCTCGTTTCTTCGCTTTCTCCAAGCCAAACATCTACAGGCCAAAACAACACATTCTTAGCACCGTTTCCAGCAGGTTTTGGCAACAATCAGCTGGTTATTGACATCATCCGCACACAGTCTCCCCAGGGACTTGATCGTCGTTATGTTGTTGGCCCCGTGAGCAGGTGTCCCTGCATTTGTAGAGCTCCACACCTTCCTTGAGGGCGGGAAGGGAGCCCAAGACCCCTGCCAGGGGGATTGGTAAGGTTGCCCTTTTTGTGTGGCTTGTGTACTTGGATTCTTACAATTCGATGAACGGGAACCAGCATGAAAGGACAAAATAACAAAGACCCTGTGCCCTGGCAGGCTCCAGCGCACGCACAACAGGCACCTCCGTCTGAGAGGAGAGCAAAGTTCAAGGCTGTGGCACAGCAGAGGTTTGGCCATCCCCCCCCATGCACGTTCCCAACACGTGCAAATTCCCCAATTGCACAGGCAAGGCGTCGCCCAGATGCGTGCCTGCCAGCCATCGCCTGCCAGACCAAAGGACTTTCCTCTTTCCTGTGAAGGCGATTGTGGCCAAAAGTGAACAGCCAAACTCCCGGCTCACTCACGTGCATGAAGGTTTTCCTCGCTCAGTCCTTGTGTTCCTGCCAAGA